CAGGGACAGAAGAGCCTGGTGGGCTGCCACCTGTGGGGTCACACAGGGTCGGACACGACTGACGCGACTTAGCAGCAGCAGCAGCAGCAGCAGCACCCACGCTTAGTCACTCAGTCATTTCTGACTCTTCTCGACACCATGGACTATAGTCCTCCAGGCTCCTCTGTCCATGGGGATTCTCCGGGCAACTATACTGGAGTGGGTTGCCAAGCCCTCCTCCAGGGGATCTTTCCAAACCAGGGATTGAATCCAGGTCTCCCACCTTGCAGGCGGATTCTTTACCATCTGAGCCACCAGGGAAGCCCATGAATACTGGAATGGGTAGCCTATCCCTTCTCCAGGGGAATCTTCCTGACCAAGGAATTGAACTGGGATCTCCTGTATTGCAGGTGGATTCTTGGGAAGCTCCGTTTGTGTGTATACAAAGCTGTATATATCAAGGAATGAAGACAAGTAGACACTCATTTACCCTACAAGAGTTTGGGGCTGGGATGGGGGGGCAAGAACTGGAGCACAAGGAGGATGAAGAAGAATCTAGGAAATCATACCTTCCTTCTGTGAGCTTATGGTACACCCAAGTCTTTAAATAGGCTAGTTATTCAGGGGGGTATGTAATGTAATTCAACTATAACACAACAGTCTATACACTTGGGAGAATTACTTCACTTCTCCAGATGTTAGTTCCTTAGTCTGTTAATTCTGAGGGTTGGACTAGATGTCCTTTAAAGGTCCCTTCCAGCTCTAATATTCCATGATTTAGTGATTTTAGATTACCCTTGCAGCTGTGTTTACTGGATTTGTTCCTGGTGAATATGAGGTTCTTGCTTCATCATCAAAGAATTTGGAGATGAAATGATAGGTAAGAAGTGGATATATTTAGAAAGAAACACACTCCACAGACAGAGTACGGGCCCTCAGAAGGTGCGAGAGAGCTTCGATATATGGCATGGTTAGTTTTAATGAGTTGGATAATTTCATAGGTTAATGAGTGGGAGGTTTATTTCACTTATTTTGGGGGAGGGACAGGGAATTGGGCTACCACCCACTTCTTAGCCTTTTATGGTCAGCCTCAGAACTGTCATGGCACTAGTGGGTGTGTCATTTAGCTTATGTTAATATAAGAATAGGACACAACTTAGCAACTAAACAACAACAACAGCGTGTTACAGGAGCAAATGATGAGGTTCAAAGGTCTACTGGAAGTCAACTATTCCATCATCTTGGATCCAGTTGGTTCTAACCAGACTTTGTCATGTCCTATGGCTGAATCATTCTTTTAAAGGTTATGCCCTGCCCCCTTCCCTCCTGTTTCAGGTTCAGGAGTAAGATAAATTAAGTCACCCAAACAATACATATTATAGTTTCTTACTGTGTGTGGGTGTCATAAGACAAAGCAACAAGGCCAGCTAAGAATCATGGGATTGAGGAGTCATAAAACATGTCATGAGCCAATTGTGTAAGAAGTTCAAATCACTCAGCTTATTGCACTCAATAAACTCAAATTAGTCACACCCAATAGTAAAGAAAATACAGGGTTTAAGGAACCACTCTGAAGAGGTGTCAGGGACAGGAGGCATTCTCAATGCAGATGGCAGGCACAGGTTCTGCATGTCGGCATGGCAACCAGTGTGGCACTGGCTTTTCTCAGCAGTTACCTTCTACTCTGGCAGCTTCTGACACGGGCAGTCTCCACCTTAGTGTGTGTGCTCCACTGAGATCCTTCTCCAGCAAATGTGTTCAGTCAGTTCAGTCGCTCAGTCGTGTCTGACTCTTTATGGCCCCATGGACTACAGCACACCAGGCTTCCCTGTCCTTGACCAACTCCCAGAGCCTTCTCAAACTCATGTCCATTGAGTCAGTGATGTTATCCAACCATCTCATCCGCTGCTTCCCCCTTCTCCTCCTGCCTTCAATCTTTCCCAGCATCAGGTCTTTTCCAATGAGTCAGTTCTTCACATCAGGTGGCCAAAGTATTGGAGCTTCAGCTTTAGCATCAGTGCTTCCAATGAATATTCAGGGTTGGATTTCCTTTAGGAGTTTCTGGTTGGATCTCCTTGCAGTCCAAGGGACTCTCAAGAGTCTTCTTCAACACCACAGTTCAAAAGCATCAATTTTTTGGTGCTCAGCTTTATGTGTTCAGACCCTATCTTTTGTAAGGTACAGTCCCTTGGGTGCAACAGTTACAATCCCGGCTACAAGGAGCCTTACCTCTAGACAAAAAAAATGTTGCCTTCTATTTCAGTAAACAGAGTGCTGTCTGCCATCAAACCAACAGTCACTGCAGCTGTCTTGACAGTGCCTCTTAAGTGGAATTCAGAATGAAGAAAAAGAGGACACTGGCCCTGGATAGTTAAGATGCATATCAAAGGAATAATTTCAATGAGCCCAGTCACTTCCATTTTCCCATACATAAAAAAGCACTGAAGTCCTTGAGATGTTGGGTAGTTTTTTTGGTAATTAACAGTAGTTTTTTGAAGTTTGACTACATTTTGTTCTCCAACAAAAACCCCTATATACCCTGGCTCCTCGCTTATCTCTTTGGAACTGTTCCTCAAAGCCATCGGAGAGGTTAATTCCCAGGCTATAGTCCTTAGTAAGTTTCCCTGAATAAACATAACTCTCAACTTTCAGGTTGTGCACTTTTTAAAGTCAACATATAAGCATGTGTGTGTGCATGTGTGTGTACGTGTGTGTTTTAGTTGCTCAGTCATGTTTGACCCTTTGCAACCTCATGGACTATAGCTTGCCAGGCTCCTCTGTCCATGGGATTTCCCAGGCAAGAATACAGGAGTGGGTTGCCATTTCCTTCTCCAACATACAAGCATGCTGCTGCTGCTGCTGCTAAGTCGCTTCAGTCGTGTCCGACTCTGTGTGACCCCATAGACGGCAGCCCACTAGGCTGCTCCATCCCTAGATCCTCCCCAAAATCAGGATTGCTAAGACAAAGATCATTGCTCACCACCCATTTCCACAAGGATTCATTTGTAAACTCACCACATTTGCTGACTGACAGTAGGACTCTTGGAAGAATTTAAGGTAAAAACATGATGAGGCATCTGTGCTTTGAATGCACATGAATACAGACAGGTCCCAGGCTTTGGGTAGCTCAAACAGTAAAGATCTGCCTGCAATGTGGAAGACCTGGGTTCCATCCCTGGGTCAGGAAAATCCCTGGAGATAGGCACGGCAACCCACTCCACTGTTCTTGCCTGGAGAATCCCACGGACAGAGAAGCCTGTTGGGCTACAGTCCACAGGGTTGCAGAGAGTCAGACAGGACTGAGTGACTAACACTTTCAGTTTCATAGGTAGTCAAAAGTGTATCTCAGGAAGAATTTTAATGACTCTAGATTCTTCCATCCTCCATACATAGAAAAGCTAAAAAGATTAACTGGAGACATCTGTTCTTTATGATTAGCAGTAATCTTACCAAGATACATGCTTGACTGCAGGTATCCCCCAGCCAGAAGTCACGCATGAACTGACTTTTCCCTTACTTCTACTGAGTAATTGCTTCAGAGTGCACCAAGTGGCTGTCTCTTGGGCTTTAGTTCTTAGAAAGACCCTGACTGAAACTTAAAACTCACAGCTCTTACCTTACACATCTTTAAACCCTTTCTCCACACCTTTAAAAACAATTTCCTGTAATTCCCCGGAGGACCAGTGATTAGAATTCCCAGCTTCAGGAGGGTCCCGGCTCCATCCCTGGTTGGGTAACCAAGAGCCCACAAGCTCCGTGACACAGCCAAACAACAACAAAACTTACAAACACACACACACCCAGCCAAAACAAGTTTAATTATTTCACTCGTTACCTTAATTTACATATTCAAAATATTGCATCAGACCTTTAGAAACAATCAAGATGGGTGCTGCATTGGCCACTGTGACTTAATCTTGTGTTTCCCTATTTCTAACGAACGAGAGGTTCTATTCTAAATTCTAGGTAGGAATTATAATGTCACATCATAAAGGAGATGTATCTATGGAAATAAGAAATCGTATTCAAGGGAACTCCCGCCTCCAAACATCAGCATACTCGCTCCGGCAGAAATTTGATTCTAAGCCGCACAGCACAGGAGACCCGCGATCACGTGCCAGACAGCGCCCAAGGCCGCTCTGGAGCCCAAGAGGTCCAAATCGGAAGTGGTCCTTGAAAATTACTTTCCCGGGAAACCTGTTTTTGAAAAACCGTGTCACTTTTAATTCGCTTTTTCTTAATGTAAACTCACAGAAATACAGACAAACTCTCGCTCTCAGTACAGAGAAAGACACTTTTATGCGGAGAGAAACCTTTCACGCCCGGCAGCAGCGATAAGCCAATGGGAACCAAGATGCGCAGGGCACCAGTTCTCCGGCGAGCGCTACTCCGGGAGGGCCAGTCCCCTGGCGGGGTTGCCGTGGAGACCAAGCGAGCTTTGTGGATGCTGAGGCGCGCTGAAGCCAGGCCTTCTGCTGTCTGTCTGCAGAGGGGGTTCACAGGACCGGCGCCAAGATGGTTAGTGGCGTTGAATAGTGAGGAATAAGTTTGAGTAGGTCCTGGGACTGGAGATTAGAGATTCCTAGCACACGTCTAGTGTAAGTCTAGGAGTGTTAACGGAGGCAGATATCTGTCCCTCCCCCATGTTCCCACCGGGGACAGGGCTGCAACTGTAGAAACATCGTTGCTTTCTTCCCTCTTGCTTCTCCGTTTTCCCACTCCTGAGCTGCGCGTGAGATGGGAAGCGGACCGAGGGAAGGCTGAGATGACAATAGCTACGCGAAAGCATCTCTTACCTCATTCTCGTTGGAGGAGATGAAGTAGGGGATAGCGGTTTCGTTCAGCTCAAGCACCGGGTGATGGACCTTTTAGTAAAATGCGTGTCACGGAAAGAGTTTAAATAGGCTTACAAGGGGTTCGTTGTTCAGGATTTGACTTATGAATCCGGGAGCTGTCACTCTCATTTTTAAGTTGACCACGGGAATGGGATCATACAGCTATCTTTGTTGTTTCTTTCACAGATGCTTTCAAGGGCCAAACCTGCTGTAGGCGGGGACCCACCGCACACTGACAAAAGAAAGAAGAAAGGTAGGAAGATTCCGAAGCTAGAGGAGCTACTTTCACAAAGAGATTTCACAGGAGCTATTACCCTGTTGGAGGTAATGTCCAAAGAAAGTTGCTTCTTAGAACGTAAATAACCAGAATATAGAGAAATGCATGGGTGAATGCTGGTTGCTATGCATGGAACAGGTGGGTGCATTCTGGCACTTCCTGTAAATCTAGTCAGGCACAGATTCCAGGTTAACTATAAACCTGACTAAAGATGAACTAAAAAGATAGACTTCTTTCTGTGTCTGTCTCTTTTTTTTTTTACATGATAGACATTTCTTGAGAGACACTTTTAATTATGTCTAGTTCCACTGATGGCAAATCCAGCCTAAAAATGTAGAGGGGCATTTAATACAGTGTCAGTTCACACATTGCCTATTCCACCCCCTGACAAGTTTATGATTTATTCCTATTAATATGTTATAACATTTTGATCAAATTCAAATAATTCTACCATGTTTCATGCTTATTGTCTGAAATACTGTATCTTCAGAAGATATTTCAAATCTCTCTGGCAGTAGTTCTCAACTTTTAATACTCATAAGAGTCACTTGTGGTACTTGTTTAAATGTACATTTCTGGACTCCGACTCTGTGTGTGTTAGTTGCTCAGTCGTGCCCGATTCTTTTTGACCCCATGAACTATAGCCCACCAGGCTCCTCTGTTCATGGGATTTCCCAGGCAAGAATTCTGGACTGGGATGCCATTCCCTTCTCCACGGGATCTTCCCGACCCAGGGATTGAATCCAGGTCTCCCGAGTTGCAGGCAGGTTCTTTACCATCTAAGCCACCAGGGAAACTCAAGAACCCAATATTTTGGGCAAATAGCCTAAGTGCTGATGTAGATGGTCCAAGGATACCGCACTTTGGGAAATGGTTTTGTGGGAAGAACATGTTATAGAGAATGAGGGGTGCACCAAAGAACACAGAGGGGAGGAGTTTTGACAGCACATCCTGGTTGTGTTGTGCCATAATCATTTTTCTAAAGCACTACAACAGCCGTATTACTCTATCAACAATAAGTGTTGTAATCAGCTTTATATATCTTTCTCAGTCTTGCATGTAAAGTCCTGTGTTTCTTGCTAGTGCGCTGGTGTTGAGCACATTGCTTAAACTTTTCTGGTGTCAGATTTCTTATCTTTAAATCAGGGGAGCTGCCTTGGAAGGACCCTCTAGCTCTGTAAATCAGTGGACTGAGTGGTAGATACATGTGTGATTTTTGTTAGTCTCTTTTTCTCTTCTCTCTTTTCTTTAAGAAAGTGACCACACTTTCCTTATTGTGTGATCCCATGCTGCCTTTAAGTTGTCCAGGGAGGCTCAGCTCTATGCTTTCATTCTTAGGTAGCCAAAGTGCCATGATGGATCGGAATGGGAACTGCCCTGGTGTGGGATGAGGAAGGGCCTGTGAGCTCTGCTGTGGCTCCAGGGAATTCCAGGGGCAAATTCAGGGAGACCTCAAATAAGAGTTTCTTCAGACTTAAGGCACTGCACTCAAATTCACATTATTTGGTGAAAGGTTGTTATTGTTTAGTCGCTTAAGTCGTGTCTGACTCTTTGTGACTCCATGAACTGTAGCCCACCTGGCTTCTGTGTCCATTGGGTTTTCCAGGCAAGTATACTGGAATGGTTGCCATTTCCTTCTCCAGGTGAGAGGAGAATTTCTAATATTATAGAGTTAGCTACAAGAGTAAGTTTTTATTTAGACAAAGTATCAACAGATATCTTCTTCTTGTACTGGTCAAGGCACCTGAAGTTTTGTTAACAATGATTGGTTTTTTTAAAATTTTATCTTATTTTTATTAGAGTATAGTTGTTTTACAATGTTGTGTTAGCTTCTACTGTACAGTAAAGTGAATCAGTTATACACATAAATATTTCCACTGTTTTTTAGATTTCCTTTCCATTTAGGTCACTACAAATCAATAATGATCTGTTCACTTATGTTTTTGACTTATTCCCACATAGAGTGGGGGAAAAAAAAAATCTCCTTTTGCCAAAAAAACAAAAAACCTCATGGTAATTCAGACTTCTCCTTCAGGATCTCACACCTTTCCTCCAAAATAGGACTTTTGTTTCATTGGATGATGAATTCATGAATTTTTTTTTACAATGGACATAAATGATTCGGTGGTCTTCTAAAATCTTTAATTCTTGTAGGCCCTGGCAAGCCTGTTCAAGGGTGATAGAATGATTTAATGCCTTGTCTTCAGTGAAAAGTTATAACCTATGAATACATATATGTGTGTGCTCATGGGACAGGTTTGAAGTGTGAAGTTAAATGCAGTAGAACATGGGATAAGGGGTGAAAACATGGGCTTTGGAATCAGTTGGCTCCATGGTCCCTTGCACCATACTTGCTGGCTGTGTGTGGCCTTGAGGTCATTGCTTAATTTCTCTAACCTTCAGTTATTTGGCATTAAATATTTCACAGAGTTCTTATGATCCTTATATATCATCCAGAATTGTTATGAGGCTAACTCTTAGATACTTCCTGGAGTAAGGTGTCAGTAAACACAAAAAAATTGTGAAATATTTGAGGAAAAGGTAGTTAATTGTGCTGAGTTCTGTAGGGATCAGTTTGATTAAACTGAGATTATCTTGCTTCCATAACTTGCAATTTCCTATTGTTCATTAATAACTTAACATAGCAGTTTTTTAAACAAGGGCTTACCATTCAAAGGATTCATGATTTTTTTTTTTTTCCATGAAATTTTAACGTGAAGTTCAAACGTCATGTTGGGGAACAAGAAGAGGATACTAATTTGTGGATTGGATACTGTGCTTTTCACCTGGGTGACTACAAGAGAGCTTTGGAGGTTAGTTAAAGTTTTTTTTTTTTAAGTAACTGTAGGGTTTTGAAATGTTACTAAGTTTTGTATTATAATAATACATGCTCATGGTAAAATTCAAACAATATAGAAGGGAACAAAGGAAAAATGAAAAAAGTCACCCTGTCTGCCTTCCTCCATCCTATTTCTTTGGAAACCGATGTAAACATTGGCTCTTTTTTGATATATTGCTTCAGAAATCTTCTATATATGTTCAAGTATATGTAGCAATGTTAGTTTACTTTTTCCTTTTAGATATATACTAATGAGATTGTTCAATATATTAATATTAGTCTTTCTTAAGGAAATCTTCAGGAGAAGAAAAATAAGCCCTTTTGATTAAAAGTTTTATGATTCTTTTCTCCAAAAAAGTTCGTGGTTATTTTGTAAGGTTAATTTTAGACATAGGAAAAATTATTTTATCTTTATATTTTTAATATTTTAATATATTATTTTTAATATATTTTTTAAAGTATAGTTTTTAAAGTTGTTTTTCTTGGTCATTGTAAACCCTACAATGTAATTAACAACCTATGGAATTATGGCTGTACATAAAAATTGTAGATGCCTTATGTCAATAATTTTTAACTCATAAATCAAATCGTTTTGACCTTTCTTACATATTCTCACTCTCAAAATGTAATTTAAGGATATTAAAAGCCTGCATTACTAAAATGAAAAATATCCAAGATCAGGTAATGAGAAACAGATATGAACAAAAGCAACAAAATCAGTGAAAGAAAAGTGAAGGTGTGAAGAGGGCAGAGTAGAGCTGGTAGTATTTGTGAAAGATTTAGGAGAAGAGAGAGTAGTTCAAATGGAGTAAGAAAGAAAATAGGTATGTGGTGAAGACTGAGAGTAAAACAGTATATGGAAAATGTAGTTGACAAAGTGAATTTCAGAAACTGTCCTTAACAGGGAAGGAAAAAACCCTCAAAGACCAAATTTTTAAAATGTAAAGCCAAGTAAACAAAGCCAGAATACAATTAGAATGAAATCAAATTTGTAGCATATTAAGGTTATCGGATTTTAAGTTAGCTGAAACTATGCATTTTTAATGTCTTTTTAAGTTAGCAAAAAGAAAATTTTGTTTTTAAAGAAAATATTTTAGTTGTTTTTCATTTCTGCAGTTTGTTAGCCCATATCAATATTAAAAGGGAAAAAAAAACCAAGTGTAGGATTCTATGGGCAACAGTCCCACATGGGTAGGCTTGGGCCCTAACTGCAGTATTTAATATTACAGGTATAGAATATAAGGAGCACATGTGTGTACATGGTAAGTCGCTTCAGTTGTGTCCGACTCTTTGCGACTCTGGACTGTAGCCTGCCAGGCTCCTCTGTTCATGGGATTCTCCAGGCAAGAATACTGGAGTGGGTTGCCATGCCCTCCTCCAGGGGATCTTCCTGACCCAGGGACTGAAATTACATCTGCATCGGCAGGCGGGTCCTTTACCACTAGCGCCACCTGGGAAGCCCTAAGGAGCATATAGAATTCTCCTAAATGTGAAGTTGCCCGGGCAAGAACTCCTATTCCATTATACAGAAAGGAATGGCCCATTGATTGCTTTACTGCTATAAGGGATCACTGGTTATTGTATATTTCAGGAATATGAAAATGCAACAAAAGAAGAAAATTGCAATCCTGAAGTCTGGGTGAACCTAGCCTGTACCTACTTTTTTCTTGGAATGTATAAACAAGCTGAAGCAGCTGGATTTAAAGGTAAATGAGCCCTTTTAATATCTGATATTCATCACTAATACTGAGTCATTTTGGAGATTTTTAAACTTAATAGCTTTCTCGAGGAAAAATCAAGTGACATTAGAAAGCTAAAAAAAAAAAAAAAGAAAGAAAAGCTCTACTCTTCAAAGAATATTGGATCTTAGCAACTTTATGTTTAAAGACAGAATTAATCTCTGTGTGCCTTACCCTTACCCTCCCCACTTCACCTTCCCAGAAGCTACAGCCAAAAAGCAGAGGGATGCGAGAAGAAAAAGACAAGGTGCCTTTCTTAGGCCCTCCTGTGGTGGGACATTCATGCTGTTGGTAGGAGTTGGGTATAGTTGTTCAAGCTCTCATGAATGTGGATTTTATAGCTTCTTGCCCTACTTGTAAATGACAAGCCTAGTAATCTCAGCTTGAAGAACCCAGATTTCTTCCCTTTTGTTTGACTTATGAGGTCAGTCATCTTAGGAGAAGTGAATTCAGATTTGCAAATAAGTGTAGGGCAAAATGGAAATATGGGAGGAAAGATTAAGAATAATTAGAGTATGAATCAAATTAAAATCAAAGAAAAGTAGAGAAAGTGGGCACAAGAATGTTTGTTAGGAAATATGGGAGCGACAAGTGTATTCCAGGGTAGAATTCTTAGAGAATTAACCGGTACATACATATTTAGATAGAATTCCAGTTCAAGGTCATGGAAAATCTCTTAATTTGTACCCAAGTTGTTTGAATTTACTGATATAGTTTTTCCCAATTCAGTGATAACAGTCTTTGAGTTATTTATCTCATGTTTCTAGACTTTGTGCATAGAACAGTTAGATGCATGTAAGGTGATCAAGGTAACTATCTCTCTTTCCATATATATTTTTTATTTTTTAACATTGAAGTATGACTTTTTGTTATAAAGAGATATATTAATAATATTGAGTGCCCAGAATTAGGAAAATTCTCCAAGAGCACAAAGGGGATCTGGAATTTAAAAGATGTTAACCTTTTTGCTTGGCTACCTCTTTTAGATGGCAGATTATCATGCCAGATCTGTGGAAGATGGGCTAGAATTTAGGAAAATGCGTGCGAGTGTGCACAGTTGTGTCTGACTCTTGGCAACCCCATGGACTGTAGCCCACTGGGCTTCTCTGTCTATGGGATTTTCCGGGCAAGGATATTGGAGTGGGTTGCCATTCCCTTCTCCAGGGGATATTCATGACCCAGGGATCAAACCTGCGTCTCCTGCAATGACAGGCGGATTCTTTACCACCGAGGCACCTGGGAAGCCCCATTTAGGAAAAACATGGCAGCGTAGCTATGAAAAGAAGAGTTCAGAGGGAATTGACAACACTGAAAGGTTGTTGAACACGCAAAGACGCCAGGATTCTTGGCCTCCAGAGGAGAAGAATTCAATCCAGGGCCAGAAACGAGGCTTGATCGCTCAGAGCTTTTGTGTAATAAAGTTTTATTAAAGTATAAAGGAAATAGAGAAAGCTTCTGACATAGGCATCAGAAGGGGACAGAAAGAGTACCCTCTTGCTAGTGTTAGCAATGGAATTATATACTCTCTAATTAGTTATTACAGTGAATCAAAAGAATGTCTGGAGGTTGTAAAGACCTCACTAGACCTACTCACATAATTTACACCTTCAGATAAGGTGTAAAGGTGTAAGATAAGGATTAGCCAGAAGGTTTTTTCCAGAGACTGTCTTCAAGCAGGATACATTGTTGTTATATGATCCTAAGGAATGTTGAGGGACAAAAAAAGTTTGTCCTTTCTTCCTCCTTGAGAATTCCAGACCCCTTTCTCCTTGGGGACCCCTAGACTTCTTATCAACCTGCCTAGGAAATGACTCTCTCAACTGGATTCCTGTATATACTGACATGACCACAACCATTTGCTCCCCGTGTTTGGTCCCGCGTGTGAACCACGCAGGAGGGGCTGCTGCTGGCACTGTGAAGAGTGCAGGCTGTGTTTTACCACGAGAAAGTCAGGAAGAACCAGTGTGGGCATGAGCAGAACTCTAGAGTGTTTTCCTTCTGGTTCTTGATGATGCTCCTTCTACTGCAGTAGGACTAGACTAAAATAATATATTTTATAGCAGAGACATAGCAGGATCCCATGGGTAAGGATTTGGGAATATCCTTATCTGAGTCTCATGTCACTCCTACAGGGACTAAATGCCATAGACAATTGAGATCTTTAATAAGCACCTTGGATTTTTTTTCTCAGCTCCAAAAAGCCGACTTCAAAACCGCCTTCTCTTCCACTTGGCTCACAAGGTATTTTTGTGGTTATTTCACCTTTTTTAATGTAAAATCTTGTTTTTCTTTTTTAATTGACATAAATTAAAACTTTTGTTTTTAAAATATTTTTCTCTTTCTTTCTTGTTACCAACATGGGTGAAAGAGAATTAAGTAGGAATTCTTGTTAATGATAAGTTTAGAGCAAGTAGAATACAGGTATTAATTTTGTAGGATTTTTCTTCCCCATTAATGTTTTTTACCCTGTTAATTTATTCCGAGATGTTAGGTTTTAGTTCTTAAGCAATAGTCTTTTAAGATTAGTTTGTTTCCACCATCTTATTGTCTCTTAGGAAACAGAAGCAAAGATGCCTTGTCCTAACTCCTGAAAATAAATACGTACTTTTCTGAATTGTCTGCCTTATGGCAATAATTTTGATTATCATCATAAAATTATTTCTTAATACTTTTTCATATTATAAAATCACACATTCTAGTAATCAAAATATAAATATGCAATAAAAAGATATTTTTGTTGTTGTTCTGTCGCTAAGTCATGTCTGACTCTTTATAACCCCATGAACTGCAGCACGCCAGGCTTCCCTTTCCTTCACTATCTCCCAGAGTTTGTTCAAACGTCTGCCATATTTAAAGTTAAATATATTTTAACCTTTTGGCATATCCCTTTAAGGATAATTATTTTTTATATGCATATTTGTATTTTTGTTCATTTGTTTTGCAGAATGGGATTTATGTTAAATATATACTTTTGTATTCTACAACTTACCTTTAAATTGTGAACGTATCCCTGAGTCACTAGTCTTCAAACTCATCCGTTTTAAATAACAATCCATTATATGCATGTGCCATAATTCTTTCAGCATTTCCTAGTTATTTGGCTTCAAGATTGATTTTGATTTTAATTATAAAAATGTAATTCTGACATCCTAGAAATAGACTTATTGGGTTATTGAGTATGAACAATAAAAATTTAAAGCTGTTAATTGATAGTGCTGAATTATTTTACAGGGAGTTTATCTGTAGGTAGTATTTGAAAATAATTATTTTTGGTGTATTTAAAAATTTCATGCTGTAATTATCTCTCTGTTTAGTTTTTTCAATTTTTGCTTTACATGTTTTGCAGACTCTCATTAAATGCATACAGATATAGAATTGTTATGTCCTTCTAGTGAATGGAAACATTTATCATTATCATTATGAAATATCTGTCTTTATCTCTAAAACTCTCTCTTCATGTAAACACTACATTGTCATGTTTGTGTAGCTCTATCAGCTCTCTTTTGGTTAGTGGTTGCCTATTATGTCTTTTTATATCTGTTCATGCTTTACTTTTCTATGTCCTATTTTAAATGTCTCTCGTAAACAGCATATAAAAAAGAAACAGAAAATAAAAAGGGAGGGAGAAGATATAAAGAAAGAAATAGAAAAGAAAGTAAGAAGAGAGGGGTCAAGCAATTAATGGGTTGTAACTAAAGACTAAGACTCTGCCTCTGGAGACTATTTTATTCTTTGTCTGAAGGCGAGATAAAGACTGGAAGCTGAAGGAAAACAGGGAGAACAGAGGCAAGTGGCTGAAGGAAGTGGGGAGTTAAATTTGTGTTACATAAGTGTTGATTTCTCTAACCATACTCTAACATGAATTTTTATATGTCTTTTTTCTCTCTTACAATTTTAGTTTAATGATGAGAAGAAATTGATGAACTTCCATCAGAATCTTCAGGATATCACAGAAGATCAACTCAGTTTGGCCTCAATCCACTATATGCGATCTCACTACCAAGAAGCTATTGATATTTACAAGCGAATACTGCTAGATAACAGGTGTGAGTCCTGTTGTGCCTCCTTGAACTCTCATTTTGTTACTTTCTTCTGTACCCAGTTTGGCTAAGGACCTAGTGTCCTTTGGTTCTAATATCACCGTGTTTTCGAATCTGTTTAGCTAATAATCTGGTGAGATTAAGAACTCCTTATTGTCTAGACTCCTTATTGTCTAGATTGTCTTTCCCCCTCTTAATTGCCCTCCCATTAAGTTTCAGTACCACAGGTATATTGTATATCGGGTTATGTACTGTATGTATATCTGTATACAGATATATGTATATGTACTGTATGTATATCTGTGTGTATGTATATATATAAAATAAGTATTATTTTTCATCTCTCCATAAGAACCAATTTTCGCCCCTTTGGGGGTGATATCACACCTGTTGAAAATGCATGGTCTAGGTGTATCATTGTTCAGTGTTGTAGTTACATTGAAGGTAATTTGCTAACAAAATTAGAAACAAACTGTTCTGAAGAACTAGTATTCCAACTTTATCACTGACTACTTGGTCTCTCTTCTGCATCCCAAAATATCTCATCCATCTCCCTTCTCCCTCTTTTGCTTTATGCTCATAGTCTCCCACTTGTTCCCATTCTCAGTCATCAAATCTACTTGCCTTGTCTGTCCATCTTCTGTATGGTGTCAGCTTATTTGCATTTATACTTCATTACGGATTATATTAGTTTAGTTTTGGTTTTTTAACATGAACAGGTGGTGGTTGAACTTTTCCCTTTCTCCCCTAGTCGTCATCTTTTACTCTACTTATATCAAAACACTCAAATACTATAACACAAAAAGAAAAATACTACACTGATCATATTGCCTTTTTCTTTAAAAAAAGAAATGTCCTCTTTGCCTTGCTGTCCAGTTGAGCCATTAAGAAATGTCTGTAGTTTGACAACATTTTTGTGAAGTAGACTTAAATTGTGAATCCTTAATTTTTCCTTCTAATAGGGAATACCTTGCCCTCAATGTTTATGTGGCCCTATGTTATTACAAGCTGGATTACTATGATGTGTCTCAAGAAGTCCTGGCTGTTTATCTTCAGCAAATTCCTGATAGCACCATCGCACTCAATCTCAAGGCCTGTAACCATTTTCGCCTTTACAACGGCAAAGCCGCTGAGGTAGTGATGAAATCTGTTCTTAATTCACTTCATTCCAGTTTGAATTACCCTACACTTCCTGGGTTATTGATAAAACTATTATCTGTTACTCTTGATTAATGTCCCTTTGTTATTGCCAGTGTGATTCTGTAAGAACCCACTGTATAAATATTTATACTTACCAGATATTCTAACAAAGAATGTTGACTTCTGAATTCTCTGTGTGCATCTGATATACTGTAGATGATCTTTATCTATGTCTTACATTACCTTAAGTACGTTAAAAACCAAATACTTTTGCTTCTTTCTCTGAAATTTTTTTTTTTCATTTATTTTTATTAGTTGGAGGCTAATTACTTTACATCATTGCAGTGGTTTTTGTCATACATTGAAATGAATTAGCCATGGATTTACATGTATTCCCCATCCCGGTCCCCCCTCCCACCTCCCTCTCCACCTGATCCCTCTGGGTCTTCCCAGTGCACCAGGCCCAAGCACTTGTCTCATGCGTTTGTGGCTCAGAGTCATCAACATGTAATCAGAAACCTAGAGTATCCATCACTCTCTTCTCCTTCATCCGCAGTCTAATTTTCTACTAGTTCCTATCTGTTCTGTTCTAGATACCTCTTTTCTCCGTGCCTTCTCCTTTGCCACTGCTCTAGTTCAGGCATTCCTTACCTTTTGTTTCAACTCCTTAAATAATTTTCCTGCCTCTAGTCTTTGCTCTCTTTAGTCCGGTCATTGAGTTTTTTTCACACACTCATATCCTCCAAGTGCCATGGCTTTGTACACAGCATTCTGTTTCCTGGAGTGCCTTTCTCTGCTTAGTGATACTTCAGTATCTCTTTAAGGTTACTCCCAGGAGAAGTAGTGGGGGGCATTTTATAAGTAATTAGAAAGTGGTTAACTTATAGGCACTGTGCAGAATACTTTGTATCCATTTTTTAGTTTCCCTCACAATCCTGTGGATAAATTCTGTTATATAGCTCTCTCTTTTTTTCTTTTTTTTAATTTTTTTCCTCGTTGTTAACAGCTGTCATTTTATTTAAAACTCAGAGTATACAGAAGTCCATACATTATGATCTCATTTTATTAAACTACTCATAAATACATGCATACACACATATATACACATAAACATAGATATAAATAGATCTATAGATATATAGATAGCATGTTCTATATCTATACAGACTCGATATATATATTTGAATATACTTTGTGTACAGATACGTTTAGGTTAACCCTATGAGGGAGGTCCATGAGTACAAATTACTTCCTTGGCCATTATTTTAGTTGATGTCAGAAGCCACCAAAATTTAAATGCAAAATTTCTTTATGTGTCAACACTCTGCCCAAAAGATAGTGTAAGTGGCATCATACCAGCCTAGAGTAGGGGAAGGAATGATTGTGCTCAGTCATGTCTGACTCTTTGGTGACCCCATGGACTGTAGCCTGCCAGACTCCTCTGTCGGTGGGATTTTCCAGGTGAGAGTATTGGAGTGAGTTGCTATTTCCTCCTCCAGGGGGGTCTTCCCAACCCAGGGATCAAACCTGCATCTACTGCACCTCCTTCATTAGCAGGTGGATTCTTTACCACTGCACCACCTGGGAAGTCCAGAATAGGGGGAGAAAGGAAGAAATTGAAACTAGAAAATTAAGTACTATATCAAAGCAAAATTTATTGTGTAATAGCAGAAAGCACTATTAATATACTTCACACTAACAGCAGATTGAGTTGCTGAGTGAAACAGCATTTATCAGCTGGTGGATGGAGAACACATATCCTTAACATTTGCTCAGGTTCACTTTTCATGACTCATGTTGATAAAGGTGCTCACTTGAGGCAAAAGAAATTCTTACAATTAAATTGCTTAGTATGCAATGGAATGGTTGCTTTATGTAATGAAATAAAATACATTCTTGGATATCCTCATTTCAGCTAGAGTCCCTGCCTAATTGATTAGTTCCCAGCATCAGCAGTTTAATAGTAAACTGGATTTGCAATTTGATCTTTAATTAGAGTTTTGGTTAAAATAAATAAAAGAAGTATGTTTTTGTCTTTCTATATTGAGTCAGTCTTGGGGGCTTTGCCAATTTTGGCATAAGGTCCAACCTTTTAAATGTTTATATTTTGTCTGCACATGTTCTTTCCATAGTCTGGAATGGGTGACATGGCTAACCAATATGTTCTAGATGTAATGCTATCCAACTCAGGACAGCAAATTGTACTTCTTGTTCACTAAAAGGATGCTTTTTCATTTGAAATTGTGCATGTGCAGCTTACATATTGATTGTATAATGTTTTCCAGCAGTGGATAACTATAACAAATGTACCCTAAGGAGCTTTCTTTTTTTTTTTTTTTACAGCAATAGGATATAGTTTGTATTTACTTACGATAGTTTTATTAAAGCTTTTAAAAGCAAGCATTCCTCTAGTATCTTTTATAATGGGCTCTATATTGTATAATTCATTCTCTCCCCAAACACCAAAACATTCTGCTTTTCTATAGTAAGCATGAAATATTATGTAATGATTCATTCAATTCTTAAAGTCCTTTGAACAACTCACCCAAAGTTATACAACTAACAAGTGAGAAATTCAAATCTCTAAAGCCCATAGATGGCTGATTCATGTTGATGTGTGACAGAAAACAACAAAATTCTGTAAAGCAATTACCCTTCAATTAAAAAATAAATTTAAAATAAGAAACAAAACAAAAAATAAAGCCCGTAGACTTAACCACTAAAATTTAATGTAAATTTAGGTGTGCAATTCTTCTTCTTTGCTCTTAACTTATATATATATACACACATTCACAATAATACAGCTACCAAATAACAAGCATGATTTTATATATATATACATATATAAAATCAAACACTATGGTTATTATATCTTACCAACAAATAATTAGTAATAATATGGCTATTATATATGATTTTATATCTATATAAAGTCATGCTTATTGTTGCCTAATTACCTTTTTTTTCCTGGACAAGTTTTATTATTCACAGAAAGGAAGGAGCTCTGTACTTGGCTGCGACTTTCCTCGTGATTACCAGGACATTACTCAGCTCCTCTCCCTTCTTGGCGTGGGTGTGTGTCCCCACCCTTTTCTTGATGAACTTGAGGCCTGCTCTCAGAGACCTTGAGCAGCTCCAAGGCTTGCCATCCTCTAAGGGGTGAAGCTGCAGACCTCTCAGATCATGAGGCTTGTTCTTGGTGAGGTGCCCCCAGTAACAGTGGCCGTAGTTCTGGTGGCTCACATTCTTAGTCATCTTGTAGGCCTTGCTGACACCCGCGATCATGGGGTAGCACAGAGCCGTGGCAGTGGGCTGCGTGGGGGCCCTTCGGGTCCAGATGGTGGTGGGTCCTGCTGGAGCAAGGCCTCATGAGCCTGCCTTAATTATCTTTAATCTAGATAAGCTTATTGAGGGTTGAGCCTTGTGGCATTTGTATCCCAGGACCTGGCACAATGTATAGACAAAGTTGATGCCAATGAAGTAATGGTTGAATGAGAAATTTAAAATATGACTAACAGATTAAGGGAGAGTCATGTTTGAAAAAAGGAGGAAGTTCAAAACAGGTCAATAAAGATGAAGATTAAGAAAAAGCCATTGGATTTCATAACTGGGATTTCCTACGCTGATTGGGGTATCATTATTATTGAGTGTTGAAGCTAGGCAATGCAGGAGACCTATGTTCTATCCCTGGGTCAGGAAGATGCCCTGGAGAAGGACATGGTAACCCACTCCAGTATTCTTGCTTGGAGAATCACAGGGACAGGGGAGCCTGGTGGACTACAGTCCATGGGGTCGCAAAGAATCAAAAACAACTGAGCGACTAAATACACACAAATGGGGTATAACCTTTGAAAATTGTGAATCACTATATTGTACACTGTAACATATAATATTGTACATCAACTATACCTCAATAAAAAATGTTTAGATCAGCAAAAAAAAAAAAAGAAGATAAGGAGTGAATGAGTAACCTCTTGGACTGAGAAACGTCCTAAGGGATATGGCAGAAGAAAGACAAGTAGATGATGAAGAAATAGAAGCAGTGAGTATAGGATGCTTGTGAAAGGAAGGAATAGTTTCAGAGGATAAAGAAATTTTATCCAAATTCCAATCTTAGGTTACTAGCTAGCTATGTGGTTTCAGTACAAAGTATGCAAAATAACAGTACTGAATTATTGTAGGTTTTTGTGATGTACATAAAGTCCTTAACTTTATATACGTAGTAAATAGTGAACTGAGCAATTATCAAAGATTTTATAGGCTGAAACATAGTTAGATTTATCTTTTTCTTTATGTTTAGTGCTTTTTGTATTTTGTTTAAAAAAATATTTCCTAGCCCAAATTTTGTTCTCTGATATTCTAGAAGCTTATTGTTTTGCCTTTCACAAATCCAAATTATCTGTAATTATATCCAAAAGGTTTTATTTCTCAATTAATGACAAAGATTGACAAGTTAGATTGAAAAGACAAAACCCTAATACATGTTTTAAATATTATTGTTGTTGTTGTTGAGTCATTAAGTCTTGTCTGACTCTTTGGGACTCCATGAACTGCAGTACTCCAGGCTTCTCTGTTTATCACCAGCTCCTGGAGCTTGCTCCAACTCATGTCCATGAGTCAGTGATACCATCCAACCATCTCATCTCTGTTGCCCCCTGCTCCTCTTGTTCTCAGACTTTTCCAGCATCAGGGTCTTTTCCAAAGAGTCAACTCTTCACATTGGGTGGCCAAAGAATTGGAGCTTCAGCATCAGTCCTTCCAATGAATATTCATGGTTGATTTCCTTTAGGATTGACTGGTTTGATCTCCTTGCTGTCCAAGGGACTCTCAAGAGTCATCTCCTGCTCCATAGTTCAAAAGCATCAGTTTTTCGATGTTCAGCCTTCTTTATGGTCCAACTCTCATATCTGTATATGACTACTGGAAAAACCATAGCTTTGACTATGTGAACTTTTGTCGGCAAAGTGATGTTTTTCCTTTTTAATACGCTGTCTATATTTGTCATAGCTTTTCTTCCAAGAAGCAAGCATCTTTTAATTTGGTGGCTGTAGTCACCGTCCACAGTGATTTTGGAGCCCAAGAAAATAAAATCTGTCACTGTTTCCACTTTTCCCCATCTATCTGCCATGAAATGATGGGACCAGATGCCATATCTTCATTTTTTGAATGCTGAATTTTAAGCCAGCTTTTTCACCTTCCTCTTTCACGTTCATCAAGAGGCTCTGTAGTTCCCCTTTGCTTTCTGCTATTAAAGTGGTAGCATCTGCATATCAGATGTTATTGCTACTTCTCCCGGCAATCTTGATTCCAGCTTGTGCTTCATCCAGCCCTGCATTTCACATGATGTACTCTGCGTATAAGTTAAATAAGCAGGGTGACAATATACAGCATTGACGTACTCCTTTCCCAATTTTGAACTAGTCCATTGTTCCATGTCCAGTTGTAACTGTTGCTTCTTGTCCTGCATACAGGTTTCTCAGGAGGCAGGTTAAGATGGTCTGGTATTCCCATCTCTTTAAGAATTTTCCACAGTTTGTTGTGGTACACACAGCCAAAGGCTTTAGCAATGAAGCAGAAATAGATGTTTTTTTTTTAATTCCCTTGCTTTTTTCTATGATCCAGCGAATGCTGGCGATTTGATCTCTGGTTCCTCTGCCTTTTCTAAATCCAGCTTGAATATCTGGAGGTTCTCAGTTCATCTGCTGCTGAAGCCTAGCTTGAAGGATTGTGAGCATAGTCTTGCTAGCATGTGAAATGAATGCAATGGTATGGTAATTTGAACATTCTTTGGCATTGCCTTTCTTTGGGATTGGAATGAAAACTGACCTTTTCCAGTCCTGTGGCCACTACTGAGTTTTCCAAATTTGTTAGTACATTGAGTGCAGCACTTTAACAGCATCTTCTTTTAGGATTTGAAATAGCTCAGCTGGAATTCCATCATCTCCACCAGCTTTGTTCATAGTAACGCTTTCTAAGGCCCACTTAACTTCACACTCCACGATGTCTGGCTCTAGGTGAATGGCTACACCACTGTGGTTATCTGGGTCATTAAGACCTTTTTCGTTCAGTTCTACTGTGTGTTCTTGCCACGTCTTCTTAATCTCTTCTGCTTCTGTGATTCCTTGCCATTTCTGTCCTTTATTGTGCCCATCTTTGCACGAAATGTTCCCCTGTTATCTCCAGTTTGTTTGAAGAGATATCTAGTGTTTTTCATTCTATTGTTTTCCTCTATTTCTTTGCATTATTCACTAAAGAAGGCTTTCTTATCTCTTCTTGCTGTTCTCTGGAGCTCTGCATTCAGTTGGGTATATTTTTCCCTTTCTCCTTTGCCTTTTGCTTGTCTTCTTTTCTTAGGTATTTATAAAGCCTCCTCAGACAACCACTTTGCCTTCTTACATTTCTTTTTCTTTGGGATGGTTTTGGTCATCACCTCCTGTACAATGTTATAAACCTCCGTCCATTGTTCTTCAGACCCTGTCTACCAAATCTAATCCCTTGAACCTAGTTGTCATCTCCACTGTATAATCATAGGGGATTTTCATTTTAAATATAGGAAAGGGAAAATTTGAATATGAAACCATGGTATCATGAGGATTATTTCTTACATGATTTCTATCATGTTTTTGTACTTTTAGACAAGTCATTTTAACTCTAAATTAAGATGACCTACGTCTTCTATTTATACCTCTATGTTTTAACAGCTTTATTGAGGTATAACTAATGTACCATGTAGTCACCCTTTTGAAATATATAATTCTGTGGGTTTTAGTGTATTCACCACTGTGTTTAATCTTCACCACAGTCAATTTTATTCATTCATTTATTTATTTTTAAACACCCCCCCCCCATTTTTGACTACACCATGCAGCTTGCAGGATCTAACTTCCCTAACCAGCGATTGATCCCACACCCTTGGCAGTGAAAATGCTGAGTCTTAACCACTGGACTGCCAGGGAATTCCCACCACAGTCAATTCTAAAACATTTCCATTACTTCAAAAAGAAACTCCATAATCTATAGCTATCAGCCCCCATCCCACCAACCCCAAACAGCTACTAATCCACTTTCTGTTTCTATAGATGTGTGTGTTTTGGATATTTCCTCTAAAAAGAAGTCACATATTAATAATATATAATCTTTTATGACTGACCTGTTTTACTTTAGCTGAATATCTATGAAGTTCATTATGTTATAGCATGTTTCAGTACTTCATTCATTTTTATCACCAAATAATATTCCATTGTATGGATATACCACATTGTATTTTTCCAGTTGTCAGAGATGGATATTTGGATTGTTTCCACATTCTTCCTATTATGAATAATGCTGCTGTAACATGTATATACATGTTTTGGGGCATGTTTGGAATATGTTTCATTTCTCTTGGGCATATACCTGGAAATGGAATTCCTGGGTCATATGGTAGCTATATTTAATTGAGGAACTTTCAGACTATTTTCCAAAGTGGCTGCACCAGTTTCCATTCCCACTAGCAATATGTGTAAGAGTTTTGAGTTTCAATTTTTCTATATCCTTACCAATAGTTGTTATTATCTGTCTTTTTTATCCTAGCCATCCCAGTGGATGTGGAGTGGAATCTCACTGTAATTTTGATTTGTATTTTCCTGATAGCTAGAATGATGTTGAGCATCTTTTCATGTGCAATGAGTGCTGCTTTAAATTTTATGCCCTGCACATCTCACTTACCTCACTTTTCGTCCTGGCTGGCCCTGTCTGAGATCAAAGCTAGCCTCATAATACTAAAATATTTTGTCTTTTCACTTTCATTCACTTTTGAATGTGCAGTGAAGTTTTCCAGAGACAGCATAATTTCAAAATAGATTGATTGCAGGCACTGATATGCCAATCAAGCTGTCATCTGTTAAGGCAGACATTGAGGAGACTTGCAAAAATACATAACAGTACTATTCTTGTCACTAAATTTTTTTAATTGGTAAATACAGGTTTTTTTTTTAATGAAAAATATGTTATTTGTGTTAATGTATAGTAAGTTTATTAGTACTTTTGATTAATTGAATACTTTAAATTTCTGTTTTAATTTCTAATACAATATATATGAATGGCTGTAACCCACATAAACACAAACTCTTTGGGATGCTTAGTAATTTTTAAGGTTTAAAAAAGATCTTGAGATCAAAAAGCTTGAAAACTGCTGAACTAGCCTAATATTACCCAAGACTTTGGAATTCCTGCTGTAGACAAGAGGAGATTAGTAAAAGGTTGCTAAATAAGTGTGCATTCCCATATGACATCAGGTAGAACCAGTTTGTAGTGCTTAGTGAGAACAGTCAAGAATTTAATTATTTTATCCAGAAAATCTTACGTATCCACTGATGGAGGTAGAAAAAGAAGGTGAGAATTAGTAAAAATTATAGATTGGCAAGAAGGAATAGCAGAAAGCTGAGGAAGTGGATAAATAAGCCTCAGACATTACTAAAGACACTGTAGAAATGGTTGACCATTTGTTCTAGGGGAAGTTAAAGAAGCAGGATGAAACAAAAGAGATCTGATAGTTCTAATAAATAGTAACATAGAGGGGAGAAGGTACATTAATTGCATCATGTAAATAAAGGCCAATTCAGCAGGAAGAAAGTATAGGAAAGTTCAGGACACAGGTGAAATGGTCAGATTGAAGAATCAACCTTAGTGGACTTCCCTGGTGTAACAGTGGTTAAGAATCCGACTGCTAGTGTAGGAGACACAAGTTCAATCCCTGGTCCAGAAAGATTCTGCCTGCCATTGAGCAACTAAAGCCTGTGCGCCATACCTACTGAGCCCGAGCTCTAGAGCCCTTGACTGCAACTATTGAACTACTGAGCCCGAGTGTTGCATCTACTGAAGCCCAAGTGCCTCAACCCCGTGCTCTGCAACAAGAGAGACCTACACACTTCAATGAAGAGTAGCCCCCTCTCACCACAACTACAGAAAGCCAACGTGCAGCAGTGAAGACCCAGTGCAGTCAAAAATAATAATAAATAAGTTAATTAAAAATGTTAAATAAAGAAAAATAACCAACCTTAGTTGTTAAAAGTTTATCACCTGAAAGGAATGACTAACTCTAGGAGTCCTCAGACTTGGGTTCACCGGTTTCAGACTTTCTGCTTAGAGGTTCAGTCATTTAATGTTTATAAGCCTTAAGGTTCTCTTCTGTAAAATGAGAATAATAATTACATTGATTATTTCTCAGAGCTCTGCGGAACAAAGGGGGCAGCATGTTAAATTCTTTGTGAGCTATAAAACTTTGTAATTCTTACAGGTGATGTAAGAACTATACACTTGTCATTTTCATAAGTCTTTCCTTTTTTTAATTTCAGGCAGAACTCAAAAGCTTGATGGACAATGCTTCTTCTTCCTTTGAATTTGCTAAAGAGCTCATCAGGCACAATCTGGTGAGTAAGAGTTTCCAGTCTTGATGATTTGAGGCCTACCCTCTTTTGAGTACATCACAGTGGTTTTGGGAAGATGAATGAAGGGAGCTATCTCAACAAGTATTTCTCTACTCCAAGTGTTGTTGAACTTGGAGTTCAACAACTCTTTCTTGTGGTGGAGGAGAGAGAATGAGTTTAAGATATCAGGTTCTTTCCTTACTGGGAAGGCAGTAACACATACTTAACATTTAGAAAGAAGTGTGAGACAGTGAGATCCACGTGTTCATTTTGTTGGTGAAGACAAAGGAACATATCCTTTACTTTCTGATGAAAGTGAAAATCCTTTACTTTCTGATGAAAGTAAAACTTGAACTGGTCTTTGAAGAATTACTTGGATTTAAAGGGTTCATTTGTGGCAAGGACATGGATGAATGAATGAAGAAGATGTATGTGAGCTGACTGAATTTACTGCAACAGAAATTTGCACTGGGATGGTTGCTAAAAAAAAAGATTCCGATGAAGTTTCAAGTTTGATTCAATTGACTCAGCAGTAAAGTGGGTGCAGAGCATCTGTATTCAACTCAGACACCTGGGGACACTGAGCAATTTACTCCCTATTGTTGAGTTTCAGATTTCTTGTGTGAATATGGCAGTAATAATAGCTACACATTTTCCTTATAATTTCCCTGTACCTTCATTAGCACTAAGTCTCCCAGTACCGATGCTGAAAACTGTAGCTGGTTTAGACTCTCTCTTCCCCATTATCTCTGATACTCAGTCACTTAATGCTATTAATTCTTCTTTGGCAGTGTCTCCTATATATATCCCATTCCTCCTCTAACTCAGGCCTCCATCACAGAGTTTTCTCAGGTTATTTTGCATTATGAGCTTCTGCCTCTAACCTTTTCACTTCTAATTTAGTCTATAAATTAAACCCAGATTAATTTTTGTGGAGAATGATAGGTTAGAAAGAATAGTCTGGAAATTAAACTTGGAAAGAGATTAAGACAGGAGGACAGGTTTAGGAGTTTTCATAAGAGTAGGGATAGCCAAAGAGAAATTTAAAAAGAGAGAAATATGGTTCCAAGAGAGTGTTTGTATTTAAGGAGCTGAAAGAGGAGAATAAGAAAATAACTCAAAAAAGGGCAGGCAAGAGAAAACACCTATGTAATGTACAACCCCTTCTGCAGCACAAGTTTGAAATGCATGGGTCCACTCATACACAGATTTTTCTGTCATAAATACTATACCATCTGAGGTGGGTTGAATCCTCGTATATGGAGGAACTCTGTATGTGGGTGGCTGACTGTAAATCATATTTGAATTTTCAACTGTGTGGAGAGTCAGCGCCCCTAAACAATCCCCCTCACCATTGTTCAATGGTCAACAGTCATTTTATAACATTTTTCTAATTTTTATATAATTTTTAAAAGTTATACTCCATTTACAGTTATCACAAAATATCAGCTCTGTGCTCTGTGTTGTACAAATACATCCTTATATCCTATCTTACCCCCAGTAGTTTGTACGTCCCCTACTCCCCACAGACTGCCCTCCCCACTGCTAACCACTAGTTTGTTCTCTATATCTGTAAGTCTGTCTGCTGCTTTTCTATTCTATTCACTGGTGTGTTGCATTTTTTTTAGATTCCACATATAAGTGACATCAAACAGTATTTGTCTCTCTGTCTGACTTATTTCACTTAGCATAATGCCCTCCAGGTCCATCCATGTTGCAAATGGCAAAATTTCATTATTTTTTATGGCTGAGCAATATTCCATTGTATATACAGACCACGTCGTCTTTGTCCATTCACCTCACCTGTTGATGGACACATAGGTTGCTTCAGACATAATGTCATTGTGTTGTGCTGTGCTTAGTCACTCAGTTGTGTCCGACTCTTTGCGACACCATGGACTGTAGCCTGCCAGGCTCCTTTGTCCATGAGAATTCTCCAGGCAAGAATACTGGATTGAGTTGCCACGCCTTCCTCCAGGGGATCTTCCCAATCCAGGGACTGAACCCAGGTCTCCTGCGTTGTAGTGGATTCTTTACTGTCTGAGCCACTAGAGAAGCCACCACAGAAGTTGTAATGTCATTACAACTACACGTTTTAATCACCCAGGAGATCTTAAAAGTGTTAATGTGTGAGATTTTATTGAATGGTTGGGCTAAGGGTCAACTATCAATACTTAAAAGTTTTCCAAGTGGCTATAATATACAGCCAGAATAAAGAACCTTTGTATGTACATATAACTGGAAGGTGCATATTAGCTAGTGATGGGAGTTACAGTTGGAGGGTGGGATTAAAAAGGAAAGTGAGAAAATGGTAATTTTCCTCTTGCCTGTTGTAATACTACATGTAAATTTTTTTCTGGTAAATACAGATTAATTTTATAGTTTAAGACAAAACCTGAAAAAAATATTAAGCAGTATAAATTGTTACTAACATCAGCTTTCGCAGTCAGACCTGATGTCAAAATCAAGTACACCATATACTAGCTTTGTAACTTTGGGTAAGTCACTAAACACTGATGAGTCTCTATGTTCTCTTATGTAGAACAGAGGAAGTCACACACCTACCTTATTTCCTTGTGAAGATGAAATGAGGTAATATGTGTAAGGTACCTCAGCAGTATACAGCGTATAGTAAGCATTTAGTAAATAGTGCTTTTATTGTCATGCTATGGCCACCGGTGTCAAAACTGGAGATATGTCATGGAGCAAGAAGAGAGGAAAGTCTATTGAATTTGGTCAAAGGGCTTGATATTTGTGACTTGCGGAATGGATTTATTAGTGTGCAGAGAGCAGCAGCAAGTTTTCTGGGCAGTTACGGAGTGAGCGGAAGAGGAGAAAGTTGAAAGAGCAAACCACTTACTTTTCAAGTGTGGCATTGAAAAAAGGAAAAAAAGTACAGTGCTCTTCAGAGGGAACAGTGACACCAAGTGAAGTGAAGATTTTTCAAGACAGCAGAAACCTTTGTGCATATTTAAAGTTGAGAAGTGGGACCAGGATTAATGAAATAGAATATTAATACAGAAAAAAATCCATATGGAGTTAAAATCATGACATCAAAGAAGACAATTGTAGGAATTAATCTTGGCAAGGGAAGGGAGCGTCTTAGACAAGGAGAACCAAATAAGATGACCAGATGGATGTTTTGATATAGAAAGAAGAGATTAGGTAGTTTATGCTTGATTGCCTTGATTTCTGTATATTTGTGAAATAACAGTGTATGTGTCAGAAACTGTTTTAGGCTCTGGGTACAAAACAGCATGTAAAACCATCCTTTCATTGATGGTGTTTTTGTTTTAGCTATTCTCTGTAGCTTTTATTATCATATGACGGCATACTTAAGTTTGCTCTTTGAAGGTCTCTCCTCATTTGAGTATAGACTATATACAGACAGGAGAATGACTTTTTCCTGGTGTAGCCCAGGCATATAGTAGATGCTAATAAATAGTTACTAATATTTTAATAAAACAAAATATAACCTACAATATGCCATGCATGTAGCCCACTTAAACTTATTTTATCCTTATGGTAACTCTAAAAGGTGGACATTACTAATGCCTTTTAGAGATGAGGAAATAATCTCAGAAGGATTTCATAAATTCCTTCATGGAGTTTTTAATGTAGAATATCTGTCTAGAAAAAAGTTTCATTAATTATTGGGTACTTTAAGAGTTTCATACAGTTCCTATGAGGAGAAAAGGAAATATATGCCATAGGACCATGCCTTTATTCTATTTCTTACATTTAGGATGACTTTATTTTTCTGGCCGTGACGCACATGAGACTTAGCGCCCCAAACAAGGATCAAATCTGTAGCCCCTACATTTGAAGCACAGAGTCTTAACCATTGGACTGCCAGAGAAGTCCTTAGGATGGCTTTTTTTTTTTTTTTAATGAGGTCAAGGTTATGTGTGTATAGAGAAAGCTTCAAAAATATATACTTCCCTTCAAAGAGTAACTGTGTCAGCTCCGTATGTATTTCTACCAATAAACATACTCATATTTATTGCCATAATAATAGTTTTTCTGTCTTTAGGTAGTTTTCCGAGGAGGAGAAGGGGCTTTGCAGGTTTTGCCTCCCCTGGTTGATGTCATTCCTGAAGCTAGGCTAAACTTAGTGATTTACTATCTTCGTCAAGGTAAGAGAAATGTGTCTTGGTCTTGCCTATGTAAGACATTTTAGAACATTTACTCTCTAACTGAACTACTTGCTTAACCTTTAAAATCACTTCATAATACTTCCAAAAAGGTATTTGCAGCAGGTTCACAGGACAGAACAAATTTATTCATATTTATTTGTTGTGCTTTTTCTCTTTATCTCCTCTTTCCTCTTCTGTTGCTTCCAGTCTCTCACCCATTCTGGTTTTTTTCTTTTCCTCTTATTTTTCTGCACTTTGTCCTGTATTCATTTTATTTCAGGTTTTCTGTTGTTTTTCCTTTCCCTCCCTCGTTCTTCTTGTTTGTGTGTTCCTCTGTGTGTAATGTTCATCTACACTTCCTTTTGTCTTTTCTTTCTCATCATTAACTGTATTTGCTCTAATTATCTGTCTTTCTGTTTGCTTGTACCCCCAACTTCTGTGAAATATTAAGATGTGAAGTGAGCATGGTATCTGTTGCCCCTAAGTAAGGATAAATTGTAGACACAGGCCCAAGCAGTCTGTTATCTCGCAGTTGTGAACACAGGGTGGGAGCTCCCACACAGTGGTGCTGGCGCTCTGCCATGGGCCTCAGACTAAGTGTGGGCCTTTGAAGGTGCGTGGTGGGAACCAGCCAGACAACATGTTCCTCATTGAGGAAAATGTGAGTGTTTATTAACAGGAGACATGAACTTGCAAATGGTTCTCTCTGATTTGATACATCAGCACAAAGAAATAAGCTTTTGGACAAGAATGAAAGAAACACCTTATGTATTTTATAAACTAATTTTTATTCTAAGAACTTTCAAACATAAACAAAACAAAAGTTAATAGTATGAACACCCAAATAATAACCCCAGATACAACAGTCTTGTAGCTATTGCTAGTCTTTCTTCATTTATCCGCCCTCTTCCAGTTTTGTTGTGAAATATTTTAAAGCGAATCCCAGCCTTTGTGTCCTTTTACTCCTATGTACTTTATATATATATACACACACACACACACACACACACACACACACACATACACACATACACACATATATATATTTAAAAATGGATGTTTTTCTTATATAATTACAATGCCAAAAGCATATACTTCCCTGTTCCTTATTTTTAGCTTGAACCCTTAAGTGCTTCATGGCTTAATATGGATTTCCTCCAGGTATTTGGTTATCTACTACTAAGCATTGAACTTGATGAGAACTTAACTTGAGAGTTAAGAGACAAGAAAAGCAAATCATACTTGTCATGAATGTTTGAAGGACCTTATCATTTGGGGCAACTGTTTTAGAAAACTTTGCTAGGATACAGACTAATATGGCTACTTATTTCTTATATTTCAGATGATGTACAAGAAGCTTATAACTTAATTAAGGATCTGGAACCTACTACTCCTCAGGTAATTGACAATATGTTACATTTTTACTAATCAAGTTCTGTTGAAGGTAGAATTTCTGTTGAAAGGTAGTTAGAAGGCATATTGGGGAAGATTCCTGCTTGTAGACTCTCAGGAAAGGTGTGTATGTTGATCTGGGAATATTAAGTGAGACTTTTGATATGAGAATCAATATTCTGGGTTTTTTTGATATTCGTAAACTCCCATAAATGTGGTCATTTCCTCAAAAGGGTTGAGGTTTGAAAATACTGAAATCTAGAATTCTGGTGAAATTAGACATGGAGACTTCTGTCACCAGTATGATTGTCTGTACTGTGTCTCTGTCCCCTGCTGGTGGTTCGCTTCTTGAAGTCAGGCACTGTTTATATTGTGTCTCCAGCACTATGAACGCTAAGCACGTACTGGGGCATCCCACTATTGAGTGAAAGACTGAAAAATATTTCCAGGTCTAAGTTGGTATATTTCTCAAGTGTATTAAAAGCTTCAGCATCTTTTGGTTTATTCTTAAATAAAAATAGTACCCACATAAAAATCAGAATTCCTGGTGATCCAGTCATTAGGATTCCATACTTTCACTGCAGGGGACACGAGTTTGATCTCTGGTCAGGGAAATAAGATCCTGTGCGGTGCAACAACAACAACAAAAAACTCATAAAGCTAAGGAGAGTATCTATTAATGAATAGAACCAAGTCTGAAGGGGTACAGGTAAGCCCTCAGGACTCCAAAATGAGAATACATTATAAATGAGAATCAGAGGAATCTTTTTTTTTTTTTGAGGAAAGGAAGGTTATTATATCATTGGAAAGGGATAATTATATATATGTGATATGGTCACAGAGGATGGCAGTGGCTGATAAAGTGTAAAAATTGTTACATAAACATTTATGTTACATAAATACTGAATTGAAATAAAAATAAAACTCCTGTGAAGGTCCACTGAGTTTTTCTGCTTAAGATTGAGAATTTACAAATATGATGAATTCTGTTATATGCACACTTTCCTGAGAACCAAATAAAAGTCTCCTAATTCTTTCATTCTTACCAGGGATAGAACAGAGCAAAGTGACGTTGGGTAACTTTTGATAATATATATAAAGCATTGAGTTGATGCAAATTATTTTTTTTGAGGGATATCTCTTAGTTTTATATTCCTTTTAAATTAATTACTGATTCTCCATGTTTCCAGGAGTACATCCTCAAAGGAGTGGTCAATGCAGCCCTTGGCCAGGAAATGTGTTCAGTGAGTATAAAACCACTGGAACCTATAGTTTGCAAAGTTACAGTGTGTAGAAAAAATAAAAGTGAACGTCAAAGTTCAACTAGGAATAAGCTTACAAATAGGCTCCTCTGCAGTTCCTTTTATTTCTCCATATCCCCCAGTCCAGCTTCCATTGTGACAAGAATTCTGTGCTATTTGAAGACAAAAAAGGGGAATTCCCCAGTTGTCCAGTGATTAGGACTTGGTGCTCTCATTGCCAAGGGCCCAGGTTTGATCCCTGGATGGAGAACAAGAACCTGCAAACCATGTGGCTTGTCCAAAAAATGAGTAGAATAGAGTAAAAATTAAAAAAAAAAATAGAAAGCTATAGCCATAAGAATTACTGCTTTTTAAGGGAAAAGAAAGGCCAATTGTTGAACAATGTGTTTATCTAATAACAACAGCAAATCATTGCAAAACTTCATTCTTACTTTCACTGGCTTTTTTTTTTAACCTTGCATACCTCTGAGCTATAATTTTGGCATCTATAAAATGAGAATAATTGTTTCTTTTGGAAAGTTTTTTATAAATACAAAACACTGACTAAAATTAAGCTCTTATTCACCTGAATATGGCATAGTAAGTTCTTTTTGGAATGAAATGGGATGTAAATAAATCTTTTTATCTGCAGCTCGGTCCAAATTGCCTCAAATAGGAAGTAAATAGCTATTGAATAAATGAATGATTTTACTTAGTAAATTACTCCTTGTTCTAGCCATAGCTCCTGCCACAAGGTCTGATATATGATAAAAGCAATAAATATTTGTTGAATGAATGAATGAGTTCATTTAATGAAGGTACTTTTTTTTTTTAATGAAGGTACTTTTAAGATAGAATTTGGGAATTGAATTTTTTTTTTTCTCCTCTTTTCTATCTGAACCTAACTAGGTTTTAATTCAATTACAAATTGTCATTTTCTAGTTGGTAATACTAATAAAAAAATTAGTACTGCTGATTTGAGGAGAATTTAAAATATGTTAAATCCTGACAGATATATTGAAACCATAAAGTGTAATACAAATAATATATTTTCAGTTTATTCCTCTTACCAGCTCTCCTTGGTTTTTTAGAGGGATCATATGAAAATTGCCCAGCAGTTCTTCCAGTTGGTGGGAGGATCAGCTAGCGAATGTGGTATGTTCGAATCTGTACATGTGAGCATGATTTATCACTGGAGTTGGTCGTATCTTGACTGGTGAAGTTTGATTCTGTGTCTAGGGATATATCTGTTAGGTTTCCCATTGTAAAGCAGGAACTCAGACGCAGGAGAGAATATTAGATTATCCCTTTTTAACAGCTCAGCTAAAATGGGATGAGAGGATACATAAACAGAGGAGAATAAGTATATTCTCTAGTTCATAAGAGTTTTAAAAATTTGATTCTGTTTTTTATTTGGAATTTTCACTTTGATCAATTTCTCAAGAGCTCTTTAGGTATAAAACTGTTTGCTGTAGTTATTTTTTCAGAAGGTTATTTGCTTTTAATTTTGCCTATGGTATTTTTCCTATATGAAAACATTTAAGTCTTATATATCTTTTCTATAATGATTTATTATATGGGTATCAAGCGTAGAAAATACTTTTTTATTCCTGAAGTTATGTAATATTCACCTATATTTTGCCAGTAGTTTTGTGGCTTCATTTTTGTTATTAAACTATTGATCTTATCACTCAAGATTCAGTGTAAGTTTTGAAAACAGCATCTAAAATGGGCTGATAGTTAGCCAGTATAAACTAGCATGGCTAGCTGTAGCTGTTTTCAATGGCTGGCATCTATTCTGACAAACAGTGTTCATGCTGAAGCGATTATTAAATATTCTGATCACCCCTAGGAATTCATTTTCTATCAAATGTTTCACCAAAACCATTTATTGGATAACATTTTCTTTCCCCATTTCACTTCATTCTTACAACAAAAATTCATTGAGGTGTAGGGATACAGCAGTAAACAAAACAAACCAGTTCCCCTACCCTTGTGCAGTGTTCCATCTAGTGAGAACAAACTATAGACATAAGAAATAGATTATATAGTTTATCTGACTGTGATAAGTGTTATAGGGGAAAAATGGAACAGAGGAAGGAGGATCAGGAGTGACCTTGGTGAAGGTAGGGTATTTTACGAATCCTCTGCCACTTCAAATAGGAATCTGTTATCAGACAAGTTGGTCAGAATCAGGATCAGATATGGCCAAATATTTCTCCATTTGAGATCAGAAGTGTTAGGTTGTCTTAGGTGAGGAATGATGGGTACTAATTCATATTAGTTGAATGTGCAGGTGTTGGAGCTTAATGAGAGAATCAAAGCCCTGGAAAAAAGACCTGGAGAAAACTGTAGCCTGAGGACACATGCTCATGTGGGATTTAGAGTTAACTGCAGGAGAGATTATTGGTCACTCTTGAGAACTGTGACTTCCACATGCCGAGGTTCTGTCCACTGAACAGAATCTAATTTCAGAATCTAGAGAGATGTCTTGGAATACATTTCTTGTCACTAAATTATAACATAACTCAAATTTCAGCTAAAGAGAACTTTTAGTTTCATGAATACACCTGGTTTTTTTCCCATTCCATTTCAGATACAATACCAGGAAGGCAGTGCATGGCTTCCTGTTTCTTCCTGCTTAAGCAATTTGATGATGTCTTGATTTACCTCAACTCATTTAAGGTCAGTGTAGTTTTCTAGGTGATTTTGTATACAAAATACTCTATATGTCACAGATAAGATACTTTTGGAGATGACCCTTTTACTGAGGAAGTAATAGTGGTATCAGCTAATTCCTCAAAATTATTTTTATGTTTATCTGGTATAACTGTTGTTTTTATATTCTGTATGTTAAAGCTCAACGTGACCTGTTCTCGGGATGTTTTTCAGAGTTACTTCTATAATGATGACATCTTTAACTTTAATTATGCCCAAGCCAAAGCTGCAACTGGCAATACCAGTGAGGGTGAAGAGGTAGGTACCTGCTTTTGAAGACTTTTGAATGATTCTATCTAAAAACGTTATCTTTTTCTCACTGAAATACATGTTTAAAGCTAAAGGATTATTGAAAGTTCCATTGTTCTTAGGTTACATTAAAAAGTACAATATAAATAAATATATAGATTTTATGACCACATTCATGTTTTCCTTTTTTGTTTTGTTTTTTTTTTCCATTTATTTTTATTAGTTGGAGGCTAATTACTTTACATCATTGCAGTGGTTTTTGTCATACATTGAAATGAATTAGCCATGGATTTACATGTAGTCCCCATCCCGGTCCCCCCTCCCTGTTTTCCTTTTTTGGATAAATTTTATGGGGCTTCTCAGGTTGTGCTAGTGGTAAAGAACCCTCCTGTCAGTGCAGGAGACATAAGAGATGCTGGTTTTGATCCCTAGGTGGGGAAGATGCCCTGGAGAAGGAAATGGCAACCCACTCCAGTATTCTTGCCTGGAAAGTCCCATGGACAGAGGAGCCTGGTGAGCTACAGTCCATATTGAGAGACATACACATATAACCACATTCATGTTTTCCTTTTTTGGATAAATTTTATAAATATGTAACATACATGGAGAAAAGTATACAAATCAAAGTACAAAGCTTGATGAATTTTTAAAGTGAACATACCCAAATAGTCAGCACCCAGATCATAAAATAGAATTTTATCATAAGCTGGGGAACCCTCTCATCCCCTTTTGGAGTCAGTCAGTCCCTTTCCCACAAGGCTAACCACTATCTTGATTTCTAACTCCATAGATTGATTATCCAAATGATTCAGAATATTTCAGTTGAATTACTTAATTCAGTTTTGTTATTATTCAACAAATGACTCAACTTATTATTGTTGAAATTCTAAGTGTTTTACAATTTCCATTGTGTTTAGAAATGATCTTTTCATTATCTTTAACTGTGAGTTATTTTAAAACATTTTTCATGATTTTCAAGTATGTACGTTATCTTTTCCAGGTTTTTTTTTAATTAATATATTTTTTATTGAAGGATAATTGCTTTACAGAATTTTGCTGCTTTCAGTCAAACCTCAGCATGAATCAGGAGGAGAAATATATATATCCAGGTTATTTTGATTTCTAACTTAATTGTAGTGTGGTCATCGAGTGTGGTCTGTATAACAGGGATTCTTTAAAATGTGTTAAGACTTGCTTTATTGCCCAGTAGCACGTGCAATTGTTAATTATTCTGTTCAAATCTTCTATATCCTTACCAACCTCATGTCACCTTGTGATATCAATAATTGAGTGCTTATCCTCAGTCACTAAGTCGTGACTGACTCTTTGCAATCCCATGGACTGCAGCCCATGTTCCTCTGTTCATGGGATTCATGGGATTCTCCAGGCAAGAATAGTGGAGTGGGTTGCCATTTCCTTCTCCAGGGGATCTTCCCGACCCAGGAATCAAACCCAGGTCTCCTACATTTCAGGCAGATACTTTACTGACTGAGCTACAAGGGAAGCCTCAATAACTGAGAGAAATGTGTTAAAATCACCATGATTTTATCCTTCACTTTTCTTAGCAGCCTGTGTAGAATTTGGTCATTATAATGCTCATTAGCCTAAGGCAAGCTGCTGTGGATATTTTTACTGTAAAAGCATCTGTATATTTGTTCCCTTTTCCCTCCTCTTACAGGTTTTCCTTTTAATTCAAAGTGAGAAGATGAAAAATGACTACATTTACCTCAGTTGGTTAGCTCGGTGCTGTGAGTCTTCTTTTAAATGTTATAGAGGAATCTTCCTTTTATTGAGTGTTTTCTAATTTTGCTTTGTAGAGTGGTTAAACTCTGAGATTGTGTTGTTAATGCTATTCAGTAAAGGTGGCCATGTGTACGTATTTATATAAGTGTGCCCTGTGGTTAGTTCTTCCATAGGACAGTGACCTAGCACCAACAGTCCTAAAAGATGCCAAGTTCTTTCTTTAGTGTGTTCCAGCTTCCAGAGTCTCAGTTTACTTTGCTTTTTTTTTTTGCTAAGTGATATTGTTATGTTAATTTTACCTTTTCACTATGTGGTGCAGGCCTGAAAAGTAGTAAAATGTCAAAAACATAATTTTTGTGTGCAATATATATATATATATATATATATATATATATATATATATATAGCCTATCATCTCTATCTGTCTTTCTCTCTCTCCAGTGTTTTTTGTTTCTTTTTTCACCAGGACTTAAAATGTTCAGTAAGTTTTTTGATGTCTTAGGAAAATTTTAGCAATTAGATCTTCTAAGTGAGGCTGAAACTGTATGGGTGGGATTGAATGAATGATAGATGACTTTTTAAGCAGATGAGCAAAGTGAGAACTACTGAAAATCAACTCAGTCTAAAAAGACATACTTACCTAAAGCCTAACAAGTATTTTAAGCCCTGTATGTAGAGTCCTGATGGGGAACCAGCTTAATGCAACATTGCAAGCTTTTCATGTAAAATGTTCACTGTTTACTATTACTTAGTATGTTTCTAACATAAAAGCAAATCCATAGACTAGCAAGAGGCAGAAGTGTACTGCTTGTACATTTAGAAAACATAAATCTTTGTTTCTCTTTGTAGACATTATGAATAAGAAGCCAAGACTAGCCTGGGAGCTTTATCTCAAGATGGAAACCTCTGGCGAGTCCTTTAGCCTCCTACAGCTCATTGCTAATGACTGCTACAAGGTGAGTCTGAGTGAAATCTAAGGGGAAAGTGAAGATAATTATCACATTGGTGCATTGACTTAAATGTTAGGGGAAAGTGTCCTAGAGACTAAATGGTCATAGGTGAGAGAATTCGCATGGTGATATCAGAAATGTCATCCTTTTTATAGATGAACTAAACTCAGAGATAGGCAGGATTTTATGTGTATATAAGACATGTATACATATAAATGAAATGTGAAAATAATGGTTTAGAGAGGAGAAATAGTGGTTTAGAGAGGAGGTTTTGGATTTCTAAAGGCTATGCCTCTTTAGGTATCATGCAGGTAGAGATATTCACCTGGCAGTTAGAAGTCTGGTTCTGAAGCTCAAGAATGATGGCCTCTGGACTTCCCTGATGGTCCAGTGGTTATGAATGCGCCTGCCAGTGCAGTGGACATGGATTCAATCCTGATCTGGGAAGACTTCACATCTGCGGGGCAGCTAAGCCCAGGTGCCACCACTACTGACCCTACCTGCTAAAACAGCTGAAGCCAGCTTGCCCTGGAGCCAGTGCTCCACAACAGGAGGGGCCATCTCAGTGAGAAACCGGCACACTGCAACTAGAGAGTAGCCCCTGCTCATGCATGGCAATGGGGACCCAATCCAGCCAAAAATAAATACATTAGAAAAAAAGAACAGTGTCCTCTGACACCAAGAGACAGATTTGGAGAAATCACCACTTCAATAGTAATAGATGCCCTGAAAAACAGTGAAACTTCCCAGATAAGGGAGTCAAGTAAGAAGAATAAGGAGTTGCAAACCAAACTTTTGGGAAACCTTGGTGCAAATAGTGGACAGGAAGGACAAAGGAACCAGAAAAAGTGGAGTCAGACTTGGTAAAAGAGGAGCTTTGTGTGTGTGTGTGTGTAGGGAGTTGGAAAGACAGGGAAGAGTTTGGGGCCCTATTCTATAGATTAAAAGCTTTTTACAAAACTAACCTCAAATTCTGAAAACTATTTGGGAACTATTTCTTCCTGTTCAAAAGACAGGAAAACATTAGGTAAAGAGAGTCTAGTATCAACTTAATCAATAATAGCTCATTTAAAAAAACTCTTTAAAAAACTGATATATTATTTCATATATATACATATATATATGTGTGTATGTATATATAAAACGTTCTTGAAATGACAAAATTATAGAGCTGTAGGAAAAAATTGATGATTGCCAGAGGTTAGGAATGGTCAGCTGGGAGGAGAGTACAGCTTTGTGGTGATGGAATACTTCTGTCTTGATAGGAGTGGTGGTTACATGAGTCTGACACATTTGATGAAATAACAAAAGTGCACACATACACTGTAGTGATGTCAGTTTCCTGGGTTTGATGTTCCATGGGACCACCATGGGATCAAAAAGGCTTTAGCAAATGACCCAACTAGGGCTATATCCAAAAATATAGATAAATTGTAAAAACACATACAAAGCCACAAAAGAATATCTACAGCATTATTTCATATATTAACATACTAAGAGGCAGCACTCAATTATGTTGTCTAAACGTATATACAAAGCTGATACAACTATACAGTCAAAGAACTGATGACCCTAAGAGTCAGATTAGTTACTGAAAATAGGGGAAAAGAGGGCTGTGGTATAGAAGTGAGACACAGCTTTGCTTTTGCTGTCAATGTTTTGTTTCTTGACATGGGTGGTAGTTACACGTGTATTGACATTATAGTCATTAAACGGTGCATGTATGTTTCTCACATCATTTGGTGTGTTTCTTTACCAAAAAAAAAATATATATATATATATATATATATATATATATATATATTTTTTTTTTAGGTGAATATAGGAAGAAGGATTAGCCTTGAAAAGGAATAAGAACACTTCTTTCTGTGAGATAGGCAGAGTAATGAAGTATAATTTGAATGGAAGGCAGGAAAGTTGTGTCTTCTTTATGAAGCAGAGAAAAAAGCTAAGCTAAGAATGCAATAGAGATCTTAAGGAAATTGGCAAAGGTTTAAAACAGTTTATGGAAAAGGAGAAGTAATTAAACCACATTAAGTAAGGGAGGATTTCCCAGCAACTTGAAGACTTCAGTGAAATTGGTAACCCTATACATTTATGAGACTGCAGCCATGAAATTAAAAGATGCTTTCTCTTTGGAAGAAAAGCTATGACAGACCTAGACAGCATATTAAAAAGCAGAGACAGCACTTTGCCGACAAAGGTCCTTACGGTTTTTCTAGTAGCCATGTATGGATGTGAGAGTTGGACCATGAAGAAGGCTGAGCCCCAAAGAATCGATGCTTTTGAACTGTGGTGCTGGAGAAGACTCTTGAGAGTAACTTGGTCTGCAAGGAGATCAAACCAGTCAATCCTAAGGGAAATCAACCCTGAATAGTCATTGGAAGGACTGATGCTGAAGCTGAAGCTCCAATACTTTGGCCACTTGATGCGAAGAGCTGACTCTTTGGAAAAGACTGATGGTGGGAAAGATTGAGGGCAAGAGGAGAAGGGGGTGACAGAGGATGAGATGGTTGGATGGCATCACTGACTCAATGGACATGAGTTTGAGCAAACTCTAGGAGCAAGTGAAAGACAGGGAAGCCTGGTGTGTTGCAGTCCATAGGGTCACAAAGAGTTGGACAGGACTTAGTGACTGAACAACAACAACATCTAAGCAAAATTTAATGATAGCATAGTGTACAAGGCCATGGAAGTGTAGTGTGTTTGGGAAAGAAGCTTGTCAAAATGAATTAAATATTTCAGAGGTTTGCTGTTTAGGAGTCAGTGTACATCTAGGCATTCTGAGATGACAGGGCCAAGGTCAGGGAAAGACCATCCTCTTGGGTGAAATATGATCAAATTAGCAGAAAATGAATGAAAGTAGGCATCTATAGAATGCATTGAGGAAACTTAAAAAGTAACCAGTTCATATCTGTCATTGGTGTTTATCCTCAAGAATAGAATATAATTAGAAGAAATGACAAATATGTTGATTATAGCATAACTTGACTATATATAGAAGAAATGTTGTATTGCTGAAAACTTAATGAAGGTAAGAGGATTTAAATTGAACCCATGTATAAAAACTGATTTCCCTTCTTGTTTTAATAAGGAATAGAAGTTAATTTGCTAACTAAGAATGTTGTCATTACCCAAGCACTTGTTTTATGTACTTATGTTATATAGTTCTGTTTCATGGTATCTTTACATTTAGTTTCATTCTGTGGGATCTTTTGACTCCAAGTATTACCACAATACTTTCTTTTATTCAGATGGGCCAGTTTTACTATTCAGCCAAAGCATTTGATGTCTTAGAGAGGCTGGACCCCAACCCTGAATACTGGGAAGGCAAGCGGGGTGCCTGTGTGGGCATATTCCAGATGATCTTGGCTGGGAGGGAACCCAAGTAAGTAGACAGGCAAGAGACACTATTCTGTGCACTTGCTGCTTTCCTGGGGAGTGACAATTGTTTTCTTGGGTAACGTCCTCTGAAAACTAAAAATTAATAATGACGTTTTAGAATGATGAATGAAAGTTTAAGTTTTATACTGCCATTTTCACAAGCAATGTCTTTTTCAATCTCTTCTGCTCTTTTCTTTGCCTGTTGGTTTTTTTCTTGTGTCTCTTCGTTTAGACCTCAAAGAATTAGAAATGGAGTGAGTGTGGTTAAAAATTAATTTTTTTTGCCTTCTCATATTTCAGGAAATATTGAGACATTAGACCACACAAAATTACATGGCATATAGTTCCATTTGTAATAAAAGTTAAACTACTGAAAACTAAATTCCATTTTCTGAAAATAATTTGTTTGGAATGTATTTGTTACTGACATATGATAGAAGATAGTGACTGTTTTATAAGTAAATAATCTATGAAAATGAGTTCCTACTTTGTGTATATTTCTAGTACTATTAAAAGTTTAAAAGAATTTGGGTGGTTGAAAGAAGATACTTGAGGGAAGAAGGAGAAAATATGAGAGAACCCTTAGGGAAGAGGATCAGTAGGCAATCATTTATAGATATGATGACGTAACAGGGAACATTTAGTATGTATTACTTAAAACATGAGTTTTAATTTTAATTAAATTTAAATTAGTTAGATATAAATACTGCATATTTGCCAAATCTTGGTCCTTAACTTTCCCCTCTTCTGTGTTTATTAACGTGTCACTTGAAGAGATCCTATACCCTGGCTTTCTGACATTTTCCATTTATGGCAGTGACACCCAGTTTGGGGTGATTACCACATTAAACAAAGGAGAAGTCTGGGACTCAGTCAAGTTAAGTGACCTGTTAGCACAGAGCTAGAATTTGAACCCAGCTCCTTAATACACACTTGCTATTCTGTCCTACAGAATAACCATAGAAACAGAAATATTTATGTCAGAATAGACAAATAAAACATATGTGTATATGTGTGTGTGTGCGCAAACAAGGAAAAGAGATTGGTGAGAAGTTCACAGAATTTCCATTTTACTATGGCACTGTAAGAATAGAAAACTAGGAAGTCTGTGATTGGTTTATGAAAACTCAGGAAAAGGGTAGGCAGATATGCCTGCTAGAAGGATGTGAAGAACCATCACAAGTTATTTTAGCTGTTAATTTGCATTCTTGTCCTTTCACACCATTTCCTCAGAGAGACCCTTCGAGAAGTACTCCACTTACTGAGAAGCACGGGTAACACGCAAGTCGAGTACATCATCCGGATCATGAAGAAATGGGCCAAAGAAAACAGAGTGCCTATCTAAAACAGCCCCCAAGTCCTCCGGAACCCATCACCACTCTGACATAAAATTGGAGATCGTTTCCCTCAAGTTTATGTGAGAGACTGGGCTCTGTCGAATGACATCTCCTTCCTTGGTCTCCAAGCCTCCAGATCAGTGACTGGCTAGCTTAGACCAAGCGTCCTGACTGAATTAAGAGCTGTAGTCTGGGCTGTGGCTCCCATATGATCCCACGAGCAATAAGACTTTGGACTTGTCCAGTGCCTTCATTCTAAAAATACTCAGAGCACTCTTATGTAATTTACTGACTTTAAGGAGAATAACATAAACTTTTTTTATTTATTAGCATTCCATGGCATTTTCTCCAAGTTGCAATAACAGATGCCTTTACTGCTCAAGGGTCATATCATTTCTGTCATCTTAATTTTAGCCATCTGTGTACATGATACTGTGTTACTGGGGAAATCCATAAAAAGTTTTGTAATGCATTTCTGAATCTTAGGAGAGCAGAAGTTATACATAGCTACATGGTTCTAAGAATGGCAGTAAGACCCTTTATTGAACTGTCCAGGCATTAATAGATAATAGACTTATGGGGTTATTCTTTTGATAGTTGAATTGTTGATGATAATAACATGTTACAGAAGAGTAACATGTATATTGCAGTTTTTAAAAGGTGAGTTCTATATGAAGAAAATCTGTGTGGGACATTTTAAAGATATTCAGGAAACAAAGTATACAGGTCTCATCAGTCACTTCTCCATTATATTTTAGGTAATCTTACAGGTTAGGTTTTCCTTCCTATATCTCACTAAGTAAACATCAATTTTTGAAAGTAGGGCTCCAGAGATTATTTTATTTATTAATGTAATGATAATAGAATATGAATCATGTAAAGTTCTTTGAGGGATTCCCTAATGGCTGGACTTTGTCCTAAGCCATATTCCAGCCCAATGTTGCTGAGCTCTCGCAACACAACTTATACAACTGAGCATTTTTAGGCTCACAACCTATTTTCAGAAGATAGAGCTAGACGTTTTATGTACCAAGTTATTTTGTTTCTGTATTACATACTTTGTTTCTACTAGTTGAAGGTACCAGCATTACAGATACAGAAAGTGCAGAGCCATTCCTACCCAGCAGGAGAATTCAAAGTCACAATTCCTTGAAGCACTAAAGATAAGAATTCCTATAAGCACTGTGTCAAGTTTTCCACCACCCGCCCCAACACCCACTGTGGACGAAGAAGTTGTGTAGGATGGAGATGGGAACATGGCGGAAGTCGGCGCAGCGGAGCTGAGAAGGTCAGTGATGGCAGAGGGTTTTGCCTTCTGGACAATTAAAAGGGTTCTCCCATCTCCACTCAGGAAAATGGCCAGTTCTCCAGTCTTTTATTAGACCCAGATCTAATCAAGTCAAAGCACAAATCAAAATAAACTGGTCCGAATAGATGAGTTTTGAAAACAAAATTACACCATCATTTTTAATATACAAAAGCTGTTTACTGTTTCAGTTTTTTCACTAGTTGGTTCTCAGTATCTAAGTTATTAGGTGGATCAGATCTGGACAGAACCTGCCATAATCTTTAGAATCTTTGTGATTCTTACTTACCTGACTCAAAATATTAGGAAACGTGACAGAAGAAAAAGATGTATGGACCTCTTCAGTGGTTCTTGCAAATGAAATTTGTCTTCCAGTTAGTTGCTATTATTTTCAAGTTTCCTATACTTGGAAAGCTTTTCCATGAATGGTGATTTACTTTTAAATGAGCTCTTGTTGATCTTAACACTCCAGTTTCTCCCTGCCATTTTTCTGTCTCCTGGAAAAAACAGACATTCCAAAAAGAGCAACTTCCAGAATTTTAGATTAACTTTTTAAAAAGCTTTTTTATCTATAGAACTGACACCACCCCCACCCCCGCCAATACCCCATAGAGACTAGTTTAAGAGAGATACTACCCAATTCTGTTATTAAGGATAGCTACTTCTGAAGCAGCTTGGCCCTTTGGCGGGTCCTGAAGATTGCAGAGCAGTGTTGTATGGAGAAGAGAGGGTCCAGGCTTGGGACAGCAGTGGTAACATGTACAATTCATAGCATCAGTGTGCTCCTTACACTCTGCCACAGAGACTACTTGCAAACGGAAAAAATGTTATTTTTATACTTCAAAAGAATTGTTATGTTCCACTGTAACATATTTAAATTAAAGCTTATTATTTGGTTATTTATAGTATTCTGTTAAGTGTGGTGAGTATGGGCGGTGGGTTTATAATGTGCCTTCTCCTCTTTCTTTCCTGACCTCAGAGTGAAGGGGGAAACACCAAGTTTTACTCTCCACAAGTTACTCTTTCTGAGAGGAAGATAGACAGCCCTAAGAAGCCTTGTCCACTAAGGCTTGTATTTCCTGCTTAGCCATGTTAGGTTGGGCTCTCTATTAAGTCACAGGCATTCCAGAAGTTCGTTATCCAATGTTAACGAGCGTTATACAACATTACACAAGTCTCATGTGTAGAAAGCTTCCAAATACATGGCTGAATAATTAAACATAGTAACTGGAAGAGCAGGGTACTTGTGAGATCTGACCTCATGTATTCTTGTTCCCATCTAATTTTCTTTTTTTCTTTGGAACTTTTTATTTTGTACTGACAAGGCTGTGATAGTTTCAGGTGAACCATGAAGGGACTCAGACGTGCACATACACGTATCCATTCTCCCCCAAACCCTCCTCCCATCCAGGCTGCCACATAACATTTAGCAGAGTTCCCTATGCTGTACAATGGGTTCTTGTTAGTTATCCATTTTAAATATAGCAGTAATTGTTTTCTGGTGTGCCGAGTATATACCGGGCTTCCCTGGTGGCTTGGATGGTAAAGAATTCAGCTGCAATGTCGGAGACCTGGGTTTGATCCTTGGGTTGGGAAGATCACCCAGAGGAGGGCATGGTAACCCACTCCAGTATTCTTCCCTGGAGAATCCCCATGGACAGAGAAAGCTGGCGAACTACAGTCCATGAGGTTGCGAAGAGTTGGACATGTCTGAACAATGAAGCACAGCATAGCGTAGCAAGCATATACTAGGTTCTAGAGATGCAGAGAGAAATAACGCACAATCCTGATCCTTAAGAAACTCAGTCTAAGAGTACACCCACCAAAACACAGTAACGTGTCATTGTTGTCTCAATAGGAACAAGCTACTGAGAGAGAAAATAAGGCAGTGGGAATGTTTGTATCCATATATAGGGGACACCTCCTTCCCATTTGGGAGAAGCAACCAGAATGGACCCTGGAACTCAACAGCTACCAAGACGCCCAGACCTCTGCCACATGTGCAGCACATGCAACATATATCCAAGTACACAGAAGCCAGAGGACTGCTTTCCTTCTTTATGGCTTGATACACTTAAAAAGTGTATCATTAAATCACAATAGTTATATCTACTTTCTAATGACAAAAATGAATTTGTAATTTACCTTTGTTGTTGTCATTCAGTCACTAAGTTGTATATGACTCTCAGACCCCATGGACTGCAGCACACCTGGCGTCTCTGTCCTTCACTACCTCCTGGACTTTGTTCAGACTCACATCCATTGAGTCGGTGATGCCATTCAACCATCTCATCCTCTTTCGTCCCCTTCTCCTCCTGCCTTCAACCTTCTCCAGCATTAGAGTCTTTTCCAATGAGCTGGATCTTTGCATCAGGTGGCCAAAGGACTGGAGCTTCATCTTCAGCATCAGTCTTCCAATGACTATTCAGGGTTGATTTCCTTTAGGATTGACTGGTTGGATCTCTTTGTTGTCCAAGGGACTCAAGAGTCTTCTCTAGCGCCACAGTTCAAAAGCATCAATTCTTCAGCACTCAGCTTTCTTTATGGATTGACTCTCACATCCATACATGACTACTGGAGAACTATAGCTTTGAGTATACAGATCTTTGTTGACAAAGTGAAGTCTCTGCTTTTTAATACACTGTCTAGGTTTATCATAGCTTTACTTCCAAGCAGCAAGCATCTTTTAATTTCATGAGTGCAGTCACTGTCCACAGTGATTTTGGAGCCCAAGAAAAGAAAATCAGTCACAGTTTCCAGTTATTCCCTTCTATTTGCCATGAGGTTATGGGACCAGATGCTATGATCTTAGTTTTCACTAATTTTAGTGATTTACTAGTTCCTGTATTTATGACTCCCTTAATATAATTTAGATAAATAGTCATCTTTCTTCTTCATCCTGTAAAATACTTCTCAGGTTTGTGTATATCTTATGATAATGTTCAAACAGTCATCTGCTTATTTAGAGATGCTCTCAGAAAAGCAGAGCTAGAGACCTGATGATGTGCCCACAACCTACCTCGACTCTGGAGGAATATGTGACGTTATGAGGCAGCCACACCCCAAAAGGATGTGTGAACACAATCAGCTGATGCATGTGTATTGTCTGTGTATAGACAACCTTGCACTCTTTTCTGCATCAAACCCCTTCCTTGAAATAAAGTCTAGATGCCAAATACTGAAGGACTGCCTTGGTGGTTGGGGGAAAAAGAGAAAAGGAAGCAGACACAGCAGCCCCACCACTCAGGCTACCAAACAAGGCAACACAGTTTACAAACTTCAGATATAGGAAAGCAGGAGGCTGCCAGGTGAACCTCAGGAGAGAGGGCAGTGGGAAACATGTGAGCACCCATATACTGCAAATTACAGAAGCATTTTATTTAATTCACCTTTGTGTGTGTGTGTGTGTGTATTGATTCATGTACTTATCTGGTGTGTTCTAGAAATGATTTGAGATAAATTACCAAATATATACATACATACATACATACATATATAACAAATAGAAGGCATTTAAGAGTAAAGGAAGGAATACCCTGGTGGTCCAGTGGTTAGGGTTCTGTGCTTTCACTATGGAGAGTCTGGGTTTGATCCCTGGTCAGGGAACTGAAATCCCACAAGCCATGCAGTCTGGTCAAAAAAAGGAAGGCAAGAGTGAAGTCAATACACAAAAATACATACAAGAATTATGAAAAATGGGAC